GCTTTATATAGCGACTCGTTGCATTCTCCCTCAACCCAAATCCTCGGATCACGCATTTTAGCTAAAACGCTAACGTTAGCTTGCCTTGCGTTGACTGTAGAGTTGTGGGTGATGGTCACGCAGATGTGTCATGAGATTTGAAGCGTTGCTGCCTTTCACAGACACTTTTTCTGCACGTGCTGCAAACAGGATAGCCGTCTTCTATCAACTGTCCCTCGGCATTCTTCAGATATCCAAAAGATGCCCGTACTTCCCACTTTGTCTTCTTTGAGGGATAATAAATGTCCTGAGCGCTGCCGTCTCCTCCTTTGGCCATTATTTCAGCTTTAGCTTCACGAAAGTTTTTGTTGTAAACAACAAAGTGCGCATGTGCCACCGGTGTCGGTACAGGATCGGCTCGGGGTCCTTCGACAGCAGATGACGTCACATTACAGCAAATCTACTCGGCTTTCACACACACGTTTTGGAAAGACATCAGCAGTTTTGTTAATAAATTCTTGTTTGTTAACACCTAAATGTTTTCTTTATAATTGTAATTTGTTAATAAAACACCATATTATCTTTGTTTTGTAAAGAATGTGAAACTGCATAAAACCAACATCGGACTGACACAAACTAGAACAGTTCTTATATGTGAAGCCACATCTGTTAGTATTAACGTGGAGTTCGTCTGTATATTTCCTTAGTTGTTATCTAAATACATTCTTTGACTCAAAATATTGCTTGGTGTCTTTCAATAAAGTTCTAATAATTTATTTTGCTCCATTTCATCAACATCAAGAGCTTTTGAGGGTCACCGTTTATCATTTGCTTATATTTTACATTTCCTTTAGAAATTCATACATATTTTCTCCAAAAAGTGTTGATTTTTTACTACAGGACTACAACCGCTAAGACTACGACCACAAATTTGTTCTGACCAATCAAAATCATAACGTGGTGACGTCACTTCCGTAAGCTTCATGTTCAGCCAATCAGCTACTTTAACGTCATCGGCAGTCGAAGGACCCCGAGCCGATCCTGCACCGACACCGGCAACTTCAGCAGATGATACGGTGGCTGGTTAGGGTCATCGCGCCTACACCGCAGCCACGGTAATCCACCGAGATTTTTTTTTTAAACAAGACGGTTATTATTATTGTCAAATATTTTACCGGGGTTTACCGCTACACTGGTTACCGTGACAACCCTACCAGAAAGGCTGGTTAAGGCGACCCCACTGGTTTTATTCCACCGTTTCTTTTGCTAGCTGACTCTGTTTAAACACGACAACCAACAACATGTCGGACGACATTCTGACCTCATTATTTATTCTGTCACTGCGGTACAAGTTGGTTAATTCAGAAGGAGCTAATTGCATTAAAGCTAAAAAAAAAGATTATTTTGAGAGGACTTAATCTAATCCTGCTCTGTTCTCATGCTTCTGTCTCATGTTTACATTTCTGATTTGCTCACCTTTGACCCCTGAGCCACAGAAAAGGTGTTTGACACACCTTTCAAGCGACTTCTCTGCCTAAATTGTCATGACAGAATGAGACGTCACATCAGCATCTTATCTCCAACCAACACGCGCGCGCTTCATGTCGATTTCTGCAAAGCTCAGTTTCCTCAGAAACCGTCCAACAGACCTAATCCTAATCCAATCACGTCAGGCCTTTCCAAAGTAATCCCGTTGTTGCAACATTTCCAGACAAGTGGAGAAACGTTAAGTTTCCTGTTCAGGTATCATCTGTTCTCCGGGCGCTTTATGATGATGACATCAAGGACGGCGTGTGAAAGAAACTAATCCTCCAGCATTGAAGGTCTTTTATCCAGCGGAAGAGAAAGTCCTCCTCACGAGTGTCTCTGCTTCTGCCTCCTGGTAATGTTTCCCCGGGTGTTCAGTAGGTTTCTGTTGCAGAGAAAAGGAAAGTTTCTGCGCCCGCACGCGTTTACTTTTTATTTTACAGGCCTGACCAAGCTGCACTCCCTGATTATTTAATTTTAGATTTGCATTAGAAGATGGGGACACGGTTGGCTGGATCTTGCATCATTCTTTAGAGAAAGCTGTTAAAAATCAGCACGAGGAGCGACTTCTCTTCCCCCTCGGTCCTCGATTCGCCGATTGCATCACGTGTTTTTGTAACTTCTGGCTTTCTAAAACTCTGACGTCAGGACGGACGACTGCGCTGCAGTTAGCTGTAATTATGTGTGCCGATGCATTATCATGAATGATTCAGAGGGAGGCTTTATGCACATAATCGATGAAAAGTGATCTCATTTGTCAAGCTGGAGCAGATCGGGCTGATGGAGGTTTAATGGATTCTCCTCAAGCCCGAACTCCAGTTTGAGTGTTACTCTACGAAATAGCATCAGATACAATTAAATTTAATTAAATTTATTCGGCTTTTTTATTTACTCGTGACCTCCGTACACAAGACGCTCATTGGTCTGCAGCTTTTTTTTTTTGTTTAAAATTTCGACCTTTTCTCATTTCGTCCTGCTGTATGGGGCGACGGTGGCACAGGAGTTAAGTGCTCGTCCTGTAATCGGAAGGTTGCAGGTTCGAGCCCCGCTCGGTCTGTCGCTGTCATTGTGTCCTTGTGCAAGACGGTTAACCCAGCTTGCCTGCCGGTGGTGGGTGGCGCCAGTGCTCGGCAGCCTCGCCCCTGTCAGTGCGCCCCAGGGCAGCTGTGGCTACATCGTAGCTCATCACCACCAGTGTGTGAATGGGTGAATGACTGATTGTGTTGTAAAGCGCCTTGGGGGGTTCCAGGACTCTAGAATACAGACCATTTACCATGATGCCGAGGCGCCTCGCTCTCATTCTCCTGGAGCCTTCAATCAGTTAGAAAATGTTGCACAGCGAGTGTCTGGAAGTCATCTCGAGCAGTTCCTCTACACGGGAAAGGTTTTTACCTCGCTGGCCGTTTCCAGCACTCCTGCGGTCTTCGTCGGAGCTAGCGGCTAGAAGAACGCAGAAGGAACATACAAAAGAAGTCTCAGAGGTCTGTAAGAAAGTTAAAATCCCATTAGTCGTCACAGGAATGGTGACGCTACATCTCTGCGTTTGACCCGTCTCTGCGAGGAGTGAGCTGCAGATGTGTGGTTCACCCCCCCCCCCCCCCCCCCCCCCCCGACCCCTTAAAGCTGAGTGTCACGCGTACAGGCATTGGGTCCCATTTTTAAAGACTTGGGTATGACCTGACTGGGTTTGAAACCACGATTATTTCTACAGACGTTGAATCACAAAGTGTTTCACGTAGATCAAAACAAAATAAAACAAAGTCATAAAATCTAAACTAAATTAACATCAGAAAAAATAGTCATAAAATTATTTTTAAAAATTCATAAACTGATAAAAGATTACAAATTTGAGTTAAAATAAGAAAATGAAAGTCTCAGGGCAGACACTCGTACATGAAACCTCACGTAAGTGTTGGGTGTTTTGAGCCGTATTCTAACCGCATCGGTCGATGAGAACGTGTAATACTTGTACTTATAGACGCGCGACCCGTCACTCCGAGTGGCACACGATGCTGATGCTCTGCGTTAGCCGCGGAACGGATGTAGATGAAAAGTTCTGGGTGAGGAAACGTCGGTCTCTTCTACATGACAGGGAACATTTGTATTCATGGCCCCGCCCACCTTGGCTTGGGCCCTCTCACGGGACAGCAGAACAAGTCTTAGCTAGTTGAAGCTAACCATTAGCATTAGCCCCTCCACAGCATGGCGGAGCAGATTTGTGTTTGTGGAGGTAAACCGTCTACGTTGCATTTTTTTCATCAAGAAGAGCAAATGGAGGCAGCGGAAGAGTAGCGTTGCTGTTAGCCAATCAGAGTTGAGATGTTAGCTTATTATGAATATTAACGAGAAAGAATCCAAATGCTGCTGTTTTCTGCCCCCTGAAAACAGAAGCGCCAGAGCTTTTTTTCCACGTAAAACCTCTCGTTCGTTCATCCATGGAAAACACAGCAGAGAGATGTAAAAGTAAAAATGTGTGATTGAGGCAGAAGATGCTCTCAAAGTAGAGAAAGTTGTGGAGTGTTTTATTTACGGGGTTTTTGTGACGTTTGCTTTTGTTTATTTAAGCAGCTCAGCTCGACTTGTTCCAGAAAATCACCTTTTTGGGTCTAACTGTGAAGTTCTGTGCTGCAGCAGCGGGATCTTCCAGCTCGACCCCTCACGGGCCTCTTCTTAACAACCCGTCGTTGTTGTTTGTTTGTTTTTCGGCTCGATGACGAGCCCAAACTTGTTTATAGCTCTAAATGTTTGTTTGTGTCACAAGACTTGGCAGCAGTGATGGCTTCTTTAGAAAAACAAACATCTGATTTAAAACACAGTCGCTCTCGAACGGCACCTCGCCGCTTTCCGACCCGACGTGAAGTTTTATGATAAAAAGCGGCGGCAGCACCTTTCCTGTTGGGTATCCCGGGTGGATTCAGGTGGTTTTTGTGTCGGTGACGCTTCAATAAAACTAAATAAAATCCTCTCTGTGACAGAAAGCGTTTCATTACTCTCCCAGGCTTCCAGTAACCCCCCACCCCCCATTAAAGCTTGTCTGTTGGGTCCAGTCTGACTCAGAACCAGACGTGAGTCAGCTCATGGACGGGTGTTTACTGGGTCTGGAGCGTTGGGAGTGTGGAGACATGAGGAGCAATCAGGGGTGAGTCAGCTGGGCTGGGGCCGTGTCAGCTGATCAGAGCGTGACCGGCGCCCTCGTGTGGCCGGAGAAGGAATCTGCATCCAGTTTCCAGGAAATATGAGTGTTGGGGGGGTCGTCAGCAGGGCTCAGCCATGCAGGAGGAAACTGGTACAGTCCAGATAGCGCAGGTGGCTCTCAGGGGCTTTTCTCATCCTGATTTGCCTGAACGCTCTGCGGTGGATGGAAATGGTGACTGCGTGGGTGGTGACAGTCATACTGACACCCAGCGACCTTTCAGGAGGGATCCACCTGCCCGAGCTGTGGCCCGGCCGCGTTTCCTCCGGCGTTTAACCCTTTCCTCTCTGCTTTATTCCAGGAGCGCTTCGCCGACATCTTTGGGCACGACGCGGCGGCTGAAAGCAGGAGGTTCCAGGAGAGCTTTAGGATGTGGCTGCTGGTGGGAATGACCGTGCTCACGGCGGTCGTGGCAGGCTCGCTGTTCGCGCAGAAACGCCTGTGAGAAGATGGCCGTCCTCACCTTTTCCTTCCCACCCACCGCCTCTGTTCAGATGAAGGTCCTGTCGCTCTCCGCCGAGATCAGAACTGATGATGTTTACGTACCTGTCGTCTCGTGGCGGACGGAGAATCCTGAAGCGTGGTTGGACGTTTGAGACATTAACAGTTTTCGTATTCATGTGTTCACTTTATTCCACCTTAAAACTCACGGGGCCGGTTCTTTTCCTCTCCGGTTCTTTCATCCTTTCTTCTGTACATATTATTGAAGAGCTTTTGTTTTTTTGACTCTTTAAAGATCCTGTAAGTGATTCTAGTTTTTTAATGAACCCAGATTGGTCGGACCGAGTCGGTGTTGCCCTGAAGCTTGATTTTATGACCCCTCTAACAGACGGACAGGTTTGCTTGTGCCATATGGAGAACGAACGTCCCCGAGCGTCGTCGCCTCTCCCTGCCCTGTCTGAGCTACTCCTTCAGATGGGACGGACGAAAAAGCAGATTGTAGTTGAGACTGGCGCCAAAGTGTGTGTTGGTGCGTTTGATTTTATTCTCTTTATTTCTGTGTTTGTGAACCATTAAAATCCCGCTGCTGCACCTCACTTGTCCTTCATGTCCTTGGCCCGGCGTTTATGAGCAGCTTTAACCTCAAGCCTCTTAGTCACGCTTGGGCTGAAACGACGTTTTTTATTCTAATTAAACACAAAACGATTCACTCAAAATCAACTTTTCTGAGGTTTGATTTTATTCTCTGCGTTTTCTGTTTTTGTCACAAACCAAATCCGAGCCGAGTGGCATTTAGGGACACTCGGGTGTGGAGTCTCCTGTAAGCTAGTCATGATCAGAGGACATTTTGAATGTTTTCCAGAAAGGATAACGTATTAAACACCTCTCTGATTCTCTGTTGGGATGTTTACTCGTAGATGTTCTATAAATAAGATGATTTAAAGTTTGGATCTCCGCTGCTGCATCCAGCCGTTTTCAGCAGTTTAAGTGCGAGTCCATGTTAAAACCCTCTTTCTGCTCCGATTCCTCCTCGTGTCCTTTCATGTCCAACCTGACGTTTATCAGTGAGACGCTCCGCGTCTCGTGTCCTCGCCACCACAAAGAGCCTCAGATCCCTTTGATGTAGCAAGCTGATGAAGACCACACGGATGCTGTTTGTGTTTGATTTGATTGTTCCTGTTTGCCGGCTGACTGACGGCTGCAGAACGTTGAAGCCAGACGCCTTCATGTCTGCTAAGTTATCCATGAATAATTTTCATCAGGTGTCCTCCCCAGGCGCCTCAGAGCTGTCACATCTCCAGTCGTTTTCCATCCTCATCCAGCGTTTCCCCATCCTCCCATCAGTCCCACGACTGTCGCAACAGCGTGTCAGTCACAGCTGGCCCGCCCGCCGCCTCACACACACACACACACACACACACACACACACACACCTGAGCTCAGCAGCACACTGGTGAAAATACACCAGGGTGGGAGAGAGGAGACCCCGTCTTGGTTTCTGAGCATCTCTCCGTCTGTAATTTAGGGCTGCAGTTGCGGGAGTTTTTGTTGCCTACTGTGTGTGTGTGTGTGTGTGTGTGTGTGTGTGTGTGTGTGTGTGTGTGTGTGTGTGTGTGTGTGTGTGTGTGTGTGTGTGTGTGTGTGTGTGTGTGTGTGTGTGTGTGTGTGTGTGTGTGTGTGTGTGTGTGTGTGTGTGTGTGTGTGTGTGTGTGTCCATCTCCAGTCCCGGAGTCTTCCAGCTGCTTCACATTTCCATCCCAATGCCAGCTCCATGACGATATGTCTGAAAGTGTTAAGGTGGCACAGAAACACAGCATAGATGCTGTTTTCTGATTGACTTACTTAATTCATCCATCCTTAAAGAGCAAAATGTAAAAAAATAAATAAAAACATCCTGATGTAAGAATCTGGATGACATTCTCAGTGGAAATGGCTTCATCTTCATATCAGGACTCAGCTTTTGCCCTTGTTCTTAGACCCTCGTGGATTCCTCTCTCTCTGCCATCCGGTAAAATAAAGTTCCTCCAAATATGTAAAAACAATAAAAATAAAAAGTTCATATTGATCTAAATACTTCTGCCTCGAGCCTCCGCTGACTAGCTCTCATCATTCCAGTACAGTATTTTTATAAATCTATTTTTCTAGCGTGTGCTCCATCCAGAAGCTGCTCGTGGTCTTTTTGTTCCTCAGCTCAACTTATGAGACGTGTGTGTGTGTGTGTGTGTGTGTGTGTGTGTGTGTGTGTGTGTGTGTGTGTGTGTGTGTGTGTGTGTGTGTGTGTGTGTGTGTGTGTGTGTGTGTGTGTGTGTGTGTGTGTGTGTGTGTGTGTGTGTGTGTGTGTGTGTGTGTGTGTGTGTGTGTGTGTGTGTGTGTGTGTGTGTGTGTGTGTGTGTGTGTGTGTGTGTGTGTGTGTGTGTGAGGCATGGTTTTGAAGGAGGCCCTTATGAAGGAGGTGTAAGCATTGGCACGACCCTATATATCTAACTCTCCATACATATATACACATATATGTATTCACATATAAATGCTCGTTATTTAAACCGATTAGAATAGTGATTTAGTTTAGTGGCATATTTAAAAAAAAACTAAAATAATGGCTTAAATTTTATTTATATTTAATGTCAAAAGCTCCTTAAAATGGCCTTGAACTCCATCTCTGCTTCGATGTCACCAGTGGGTTGTTTTTTATGTTTTTAGGTCTTTTTCTAGGCAGAAACGTGCAAACAGGTGAAGAAATGTCTGTTTTTCATGTTGGGTAACAGATTTCAGATGGTGATCATGTTGAGTTGGTTTGTCTCTAGAATGCCAGTGTAACATTTTAGCTAACACTGAATCCAATAAAGCCCAATGTTGGAAGGTGTTCCGTCTCTGTGTGTTTCTGGGGGGTTTCCTGAATAACACAGAAGTGTTTTTTCTCTCCGAGGGAATAAAAAGTTAATTCATGCCCCTGAGCGGCTGCGCGGTTGATCAGAGGAAGTCTCATTTGAGAGCAGATATGAAGAAAAGGTCAGCGGTGATGCAGCGAGGCCGTTCAGATGTTTATCTGGTGTTGGTCTGAGTCTACAGCAGCTCCAGAGCGTTCTTTCTTTGTGCGTTTTAGAAACCGTGCTGCGTCTCATTCAGTAGAAACGAGCAGAGAAACGTTTGGGACAAAAATCAAAGGAATTCAGATTCATTTGGAGTTGTCAGATCCCGTAATCCAGAAGAATGAAAGAGAAATTGGAATGAGCATGAAGAACGTTGTGTCCCACCAACGGGGATGAACGTGCTCCACCACACATCCCAGAAAATGGGTCAGATTCAGTGTTTACACATTTTAAATGATGGTGATGATTTCAAACTTCAACTTCGTAAAGCATTTTTTCACAACTCTAAAAATGTAGCGAATTAAAAATAAAGAGAAATTAAATCATCTAAAGCCAAAGAAATGTTAGAGCTGCTGAGAGCTACTCATTATAATCACCATGGTAACCAACAGTGACTCTTTAAAATGATGATTTCTACTGCTAGAAACTTGTTGGGGTCACCGTTGTCACCATGGTAACTACCGGTTTTCAATAGGGTCACCATGGTAACTACCGGTTGTCATTAGGGTCACCATGGTAACTACCGGTTTTCATTAGGGCCACCATGGTAACTACCGGTTTTCATTAGGGCCACCATGGTAACTACCGGTTGTCATTAGGGTCACCATGGTAACTACCGGTTTTCATTAGGGCCACCATGGTAACTACCGGTTTTCAATAGGGTCACCATGGTAACTACCGGTTGTCATTAGGGTCACCATGGTAACTACCGGTTTTCGTTAGGGCCACCATGGTAACTACCGGTTTTCAATAGGGTCACCATGGTAACTACCGGTTTTCATTACGGTCACCATGGTAACTACCGGTTTTCATTACGGTCACCATGTTAACTACCGGTTTTCAATAGGGTCACCATGGTAACTACCGGTTTTCATTACGGTCACCATGTTAACTACCGGTTTTCAATAGGGTCACCATGGTAACTACCGGTTTTCAATAGGGTCACCATGGTAACTACCGGTTTTCATTACGGTCACCATGTTAACTACCGGTTTTCATTAGGGCCACCATGGTAACTACCGGTTTTCAATAGGGTCACCATGGTAACTACCGGTTTTCAATAGGGTCACCATGGTAACTACCGGTTTTCATTACGGTCACCATGTTAACTACCGGTTTTCATTAGGGCCACCATGGTAACTACCGGTTTTCAATAGGGTCACCATGGTAACTACTGGTTTTCAATAGGGTCACCATGGTAACTACCGGTTTTCATTACAGTCACCATGTTAACTACCGGTTTTCATTAGGGCCACCATGGTAACTACCGGTTTTCAATAGGGTCACCATGGTAACTACCGGTTTTCAATAGGGTCACCATGGTAACTACCGGTTTTCATTACTGTCACCATGTTAACTACCGGTTTTCAATAGGGTCACCATGGTAACTACCGGTTTTCATTAGGGCCACCATGGTAACTACCGGTTTTCAATAGGGTCACCATGGTAACTACCGGTTTTCATTACGGTCACCATGTTAACTACCGGTTTTCAATAGGGTCACCATGGTAACTACCGGTTTTCATTACGGTCACCATGTTAACTACCGGTTTTCATTAGGGCCACCATGGTAACTACCGGTTTTCAATAGGGTGACCATGGTAACTACCGGTTTTCAATGGGGTCACCATGGTAACTACAGGTTTTCAATAGGGTCACCATGGTAACTACCGGTTTTCATTACGGTCACCATGTTAACTACCGGTTTTCAATAGGGTCACCATGGTAACTACCGGTTTTCATTACGGTCACCATGTTAACTACCGGTTTTCATTAGGGCCACCATGGTAACTACCGGTTTTCAATAGGGTCACCATGGTAACTACCGGTTTTCAATAGGGTCACCATGGTAACTACCGGTTTTCATTACGGTCACCATGTTAACTACCGGTTTTCATTAGGGCCACCATGGTAACTACCGGTTTTCAATAGGGTCACCATGGTAACTACCGGTTTTCATTACGGTCACCATGTTAACTACCGGTTTTCATTAGGGTCACCATGGTAACTACCGGTTTTCATTACGGTCACCATGTTAACTACCGGTTTTCATTAGGGTCACCATGTTAACTACCGGTTTTCATTAGGGTCACCATGGTAACTACCGGTTTTCATTACGGTCACCATGGTAACTACCGGTTTTCATTAGGTTCACCATGTTAACTACCGGTTTTCATTACGGTCACCATGGTAACTACCGGTTTTCATTACGGTCACCATGGTAACTACCGGTTTTCATTAGGGTCACCATGGTAACTACCGGTTTTCATTACGGTCACCATGTTAACTACCGGTTTTCATTAGGGTCACCATGGTAACTACCGGTTTTCATTACGGTCACCATGGTAACTACCGGTTTTCATTAGGGTCACCATGTTAACTACCGGTTTTCATTAGGGTCACCATGGTAACTACCGGTTTTCATTAGGGTCACCATGTTAACTACCGGTTTTCATTAGGGTCACCATGGTAACTACCGGTTTTCATTAGGGCCACCATGTTAACTACCGGTTTTCATTAGGGTCACCATGTTAACTACCGGTTTTCATTACGGTCACCATGTTAACTACCGGTTTTCATTACGGTCACCATGGTAACTACCGGTTTTCATTAGGGTCACCATGTTAACTACCGGTTTTCATTAGGGTCACCATGGTAACTACCGGTTTTCATTACGGTCACCATGTTAACTACCGGTTTTCATTAGGATCACCATGGTAACTACCAGTTTTCATTAGGGTAACTACCACTGCAGCTGAAGGCTCGATGCTAAGTGTGAATTTTTATGTCTTAACGTAGGACAAATGTCAGTCTTCCGCTTGTTTTGGGTGAACTATAATGGAAGTGGGTCAGAGGTGTGGACTCTGCACTCTGATGGGATTTGAGGGAGAAACGGATTGTTACCTGAGCTACAACTGTGTAAAAAGGGGCGGGGTTTCCCACAGTTTATACTCTGTAAATCCGGTTGTGATTCTTGAAAAAATACAATCTGATTTTAGGTAGAAGACAACGTTTTTATTGTCTGAAGACACGAGGACGGCTGCAGGGACTGAAATCACAGAAGCTGTCAATCAAATGAGCCTCTTTAAATTCATGTAGATGTTGGCAGAAGCTCTTCTGAGACAGGTGGTCCAGCTCGGCCCGGACCGGTTCACTTCCACTGACCCTTCTCATAGTCCCACTTGGCGGAGAAGCCCTGGATTGGATTGACCCTCATGTCCAACATCCTCTGCAGCTGCATGGCCTGCCACTCGGGATCAAAGGTCCTGGGGCGAGGGGGGTAGACTGGAAAAAGAAAACAAGACATCAGTGAACTCCGACAGATCTGGAGATGTTTTCACAGGTTTTACCGTAGATTCTCTGCCACCAGACCACCAGGCCAGTGAAGCCCACGAAGAAGAAAATGCCACCGATGACAGTCTTCCACTCTCCAGTCGGCTTCTTCATCTCCGCGTAGGTCTGGCAGAACGAGAGCCGATACACTGGAGGGAAAAGGGAAAAATCACTTCATTCCTCGTTTCTGAACAGAGCCCATCGTCTGTCTCCTACCTAAACCAGAACAGAACCAGGGGAAGGGTCCGAACATGGAAGATGTTCCTTTAATGTTTTTCAGCTGGAGAAACTCACAGTTCAAGGAATGTTCAGCATTCCGAGTAATTCCAGAAGTTAGCTGAACGTTTCTGTAAAGTTTAATGATAAAAGAACCCAAAGCTGAAAAAAGACAAGAGAAACTTAAACAGTTTAAATGATTAAAGAGAAATAGTCTCTGCTGCAGACATGGTTACATAAAACCCGAGGATGTGTTTGTTTCACCAGAGCTCCTTAAATGTTAAAAGAAATAAACATTAAACAATAAAATATATGTGAGAGTCTGAAATTTTGCTCTTTTTGTCTGTTTGGTCGAAACATGGAACCGCAAACGTCATCTCTGGGATTTTATTTTGAAAAGTCTACGAGCATTTAACCCTTTAAAATAAACTTAAAGCAATAAAAAATGTGGTTAAAAGCTGTATGTGTGTGTGCGCGCGCGTGCGTCTGCGTGCGTGTGTGTGCGCGCGCGCTCTGATCTTCGTCACTCACAGGCGATCTTCTCCTCTCTGCTCAGCTGGCTCCAGGGTCCTTTCTCCTTCTGTTTCAGGCTCTCCTCAGCATCCGTCAGGACATCTCTGTAAGGTTTGTCCGGCAGAGGGATGTCCAGACGGTCGCAGTACATCGGCCGAGACATGTCCACCGTGTCTGACACCTCTGCACGGACGAACAGGAGTCTGGTTCAGCGTTCCCTCATAAAGTTGACTTTTCTATATCAAATACAGGCCATTTTCCATTTAAAGTTGACTTTTCTATATCAAATACAGGCCATTTACCATTTAAAGTTGACTTTTCTATATCAAATACAGGCCATTTTCCATTTAAAGTCGACTTTTCTATATCAAATACAGGCCATTTTCCATTTAAAGTCGACTTTTCTATATCAAATACAGGCCATTTTCCATTTAAAGTCGACTTTTCTATATCAAATACAGGCCATTTACCATTTAAAGTCGACTTTTCTATATCAAATACAGGCCATTTACCATTTAAAGTCGACTTTTCTATATCAAATACAGGCCATTTACCATTTAAAGTCGACTTTTCTATATCAAATACAGGCCATTTACCATTTAAAGTCGACTTTTCTATATCAAATACAGGCCATTTTCCATTTAAAGTCGACTTTTCTATATCAAATACAGGCCATTTTCCATTTAAAGTCGACTTTTCTATATCAAATACAGGCCATTTTCCATTTAAAGTCGACTTTTCTATATCAAATACAGGCCATTTTCCATTTAAAGTCGACTTTTCTATATCAAATACAGGCCATTTTCCATTTAAAGTCGACTTTTCTATATCAAATACAGGCCATTTACCATTTAAAGTCGACTTTTCTATATCAAATACAGGCCATTTACCATTTAAAGTCGACTTTTCTATATCAAATACAGGCCATTTACCATTTAAAGTCGACTTTTCTATATCAAATACAGGCCATTTACCATTTAAAGTCGACTTTTCTATATCAAATACAGGCCATTTACCATTTAAAGTCGACTTTTCTATATCAAATACAGGCCATTTACCATTTAAAGTCGACTTTTCTATATCAAATACAGGCCATTTTCCATTTAAAGTCGACTTTTCTATATCAAATACAGGCCATTTTCCATTTAAAGTCGACTTTTCTATATCAAATACAGGCCATTTTCCATTTAAAGTCGACTTTTCTATATCAAATACAGGCCATTTTCCATTTAAAGTCGACTTTTCTATATCAAATACAGGCCATTTACCATTTAAAGTCGACTTTTCTATATCAAATACAGGCCATTTACCATTTAAAGTCGACTTTTCTATATCAAATACAGGCCATTTACCATTTAAAGTCGACTTTTCTATATCAAATACAGGCCATTTACCATTTAAAGTCGACTTTTCTATATCAAATACAGGCCATTTTCCATTTAAAGTCGACTTTTCTATATCAAATACAGGCCATTTTCCATTTAAAGTCGACTTTTCTATATCAAATACAGGCCATTTACCATTTAAAGTCGACTTTTCTATATCAAATACAGGCCATTTACCATTTAAAGTCGACTTTTCTATATCAAATACAGGCCATTTACCATTTAAAGTCGACTTTTCTATATCAAATACAGGCCATTTACCATTTAAAGTCGACTTTTCTATATCAAATACAGGCCATTTACCATTTAAAGTCGACTTTTCTATATCAAATACAGGCCATTTACCATTTAAAGTCGACTTTTCTATATCAAATACAGGCCATTTACCATTTAAAGTCGACTTTTCTATATCAAATACAGGCCATTTACCATTTAAAGTCGACTTTTCTATATCAAATACAGGCCATTTACCATTTAAAGTCGACTTTTCTATATCAAATACAGGCCATTTACCATTTAAAGTCGACTTTTCTATATCAAATACAGGCCATTTTCCATTTAAAGTCGACTTTTCTATATCAAATACAGGCCATTTACCATTTAAAGTCGACTTTTCTATATCAAATACAGGCCATTTACCATTTAAAGTCGACTTTTCTATATCAAATACAGGCCATTTACCATTTAAAGTCGACTTTTCTATATCAAATACAGGCCATTTACCATTTAAAGTCGACTTTTCTATATCAAATACAGGCCATTTACCATTTAAAGTCGACTTTTCTATATCAAATACAGGCCATTTACCATTTAAAGTCGACTTTTCTATATCAAATACAGGCCATTTACCATTTAAAGTCGACTTTTCTATATCAAATACAGGCCATTTACCATTTGAAGTCGACTTTTCTATATCAAATACAGGCCATTTACCATTTGAAGTCGACTTTTCTATATCAAATACAGGCCATTTACCATTTGAAGTCGACTTTTCTATATCAAATACAGGCCATTTACCATTTGAAGTCGACTTTTCTATATCAAATACAGGCCATTTACCATTTGAAGTCGACTTTTCTATATCAAATACAGGCCATTTACCATTTGAAGTCGACTTTTCTATATCAAATACAGGCCATTTACCATTTGAAGTCGACTTTTCTATATCAAATACAGGCCATTTACCATTTGAAGTCGACTTTTCTATATCAAATACAGGCCATTTACCATTTGAAGTCGACTTTTCTATATCAAATACAGGCCATTTACCATTTGAAGTCGACTTTTCTATATCAAATACAGGCCATTTACCATTTGAAGTCGACTTTTCTATATCAAATACAGGCCATTTACCATTTGAAGTCGACTTTTCTATATCAAATACAGGCCATTTACCATTTGAAGTCGACTTTTCTATATCAAATACAGGCCATTTACCATTTGAAGTCGACTTTTCTATATCAAATACAGGCCATTTACCATTTGAAGTCGACTTTTCTATATCAAATACAGGCCATTTACCATTTGAAGTCGACTTTTCTATATCAAATACAGGCCATTTACCATTTGAAGTCGACTTTTCTATATCAAATACAGGCCATTTACCATTTGAAGTCGACTTTTCTATATCAAATACAGGCCATTTACCATTTGAAGTCGACTTTTCTATATCAAATACAGGCCATTTACCATTTGAAGTCGACTTTTCTATATCAAATACAGGCCATTTACCATTTGAAGTCGACTTTTCTATATCAAATACAGGCCATTTACCATTTGAAGTCGACTTTTCTATATCAAATACAGGCCATTTACCATTTGAAGTCGACTTTTCTATATCAAATACAGGCCATTTACCATTTGAAGTCGACTTTTCTATATCAAATACAGGCCATTTACCATTTGAAGTCGACTTTTCTATATCAAATACAGGCCATTTTCCATTTAAAGTCGACTTTTCTATATCAAATACAGGCCATTTTCCATTTAAAGTCGACTTTTCTATATCAAATACAGGCCATTTACCATTTAAAGTCGACTTTTCTATATCAAATACAGGCCATTTACCATTTAAAGTCGACTTTTCTATATCAAATACAGGCCATTTACCATTTAAAGTCGACTTTTCTATATCAAATACAGGCCATTTACCATTTAAAGTCGACTTTTCTATATCAAATACAGGCCATTTTCCATTTAAAGTCGACTTTTCTATATCAAATACAGGCCATTTTCCATTTAAAGTCGACTTTTCTATATCAAATACAGGCCATTTACCATTTAAAGTCGACTTTTCTATATCAAATACAGGCCATTTACCATTTAAAGTCGACTTTTCTATATCAAATACAGGCCATTTACCATTTAAAGTCGACTTTTCTATATCAAATACAGGCCATTTACCATTTAAAGTCGACTTTTCTATATCAAATACAGGCCATTTACCATTTAAAGTCGACTTTTCTATATCAAATACAGGCCATTTACCATTTAAAGTCGACTTTTCTATATCAAATACAGGCCATTTACCATTTAAAGTCGACTTTTCTATATCAAATACAGGCCATTTACCATTTAAAGTCGACTTTTCTATATCAAATACAGGCCATTTACCATTTAAAGTCGACTTTTCTATATCAAATACAGGCCATTTACCATTTAAAGTCGACTTTTCTATATCAAATACAGGCCATTTACCATTTAAAGTCGACTTTTCTATATCAAATACAGGCCATTTACCATTTGAAGTCGACTTTTCTATATCAAATACAGGCCATTTACCATTTGAAGTCGACTTTTCTATATCAAATACAGGCCATTTACCATTTAAAGTCGACTTTTCTATATCAAATACAGGCCATTTACCATTTAAAGTCGACTTTTCTATATCAAATACAGGCCATTTACCATTTAAAGTCGACTTTTCTATATCAAATACAGGCCATTTACCATTTGAAGTCGACTTTTCTATAACAAATACAGGCCATTTACCATTTGAAGTCGACTTTTCTATATCAAATACAGGCCATTTACCATTTGAAGTCGACTTTTCTATATCAAATACAGGCCATTTACCATTTAAAGTCGACTTTTCTATATCAAATACAGGCCATTTACCATTTAAAGTCGACTTTTCTATATCAAATACAGGCCATTTTCCATTTAAAGTCGACTTTTCTATATCAAATACAGGCCATTTTCCATTTAAAGTCGACTTTTCTATATCAAATACAGGCCATTTTCCATTTAAAGTCGACTTTTCTATATCAAATACAGGCCATTTTCCATTTAAAGTCGACTTTTCTATATCAAATACAGGCCATTTTCCATTTAAAGTCGACTTTTCTATATCAAATACAGGCCATTTTCCATTTAAAGTCGACTTTTCTATATCAAATACAGGCCATTTTCCATTTAAAGTCGACTTTTCTATATCAAATACAGGCCATTTTCCATTTAAAGTCGACTTTTCTATATCAAATACAGGCCATTTTCCATTTAAAGTCGACTTTTCTATATCAAATACAGGCCATTTTCCATTTAAAGTCGACTTTTCTATATCAAATACAGGCCATTTTCCATTTAAAGTCGACTTTTCTATATCAAATACAGGCCATTTTCCATTTAAAGTCGACTTTTCTATATCAAATACAGGCCATTTTCCATTTAAAGTCGACTTTTCTATATCAAATACAGGCCATTTTCCATTTAAAGTCGACTTTTCTATATCAAATACAGGCCATTTTCCATTTAAAGTCGACTTTTCTATATCAAATACAGGCCATTTTCCATTTAAAGTCGACTTTTCTATATCAAATACAGGCCATTTTCCATTTAAAGTCGACTTTTCTATATCAAATACAGGCCATTTTCCATTTAAAGTCGACTTTTCTATATCAAATACAGGCCATTTACCATTTAAAGTCGACTTTTCTATATCAAATACAGGCCATTTACCATTTAAAGTCGACTTTTCTATATCAAATACAGGCCATTTTCCATTTAAAGTCGACTTTTCTATATCAAATACAGGCCATTTACCATTTAAAGTCGACTTTTCTATATCAAATACAGGCCATTTACCATTTAAAGTTGACTTTTCTAAGGAATCTGTGCTCAAAATATGAGAACGATGATGCAACAGCACCATCTGGTGGTCTCCGTCATCTTCTGTTCTGAGTAAAAGGATTTAAATCAAAATGTCTCGTGAGGTTTATTTTATACTGATCCCTGCGTTATTCCCGACGGCCTCTTTAGATTTAAATGGATTTATTTTTATTATAAATGTTATTAAACGTTCTTATGGGAATCCGCAAAGACATTTTTGTTGTTGTTTGGGTCTGTTATAAGTTTATTATTTAGTCCAAAGATAAATCATTCACTGGATAAACAATTAGGTCCTGGTGTCTAGAAGCAGCTTAAAGCAGAAAAGATGCATCAGAGGAACAAGAAGGTCACCATGGCTCGCCATCCTGCTGCTGCTGGCGGACATGACGCTCGTCCTCCTGGCCAGCAGACTCCCCAGACGTCCTGAGGTCAAACGCAGCATCTGGGAATAAACCAGTTAAGATGAAATGTTTGTTTGTTTGTTTGTTTTGTCATTTTGCCTAAACAGTGAGGTGAAATTCACAAATGGACCAAGAGACAAGGAGAAAAAAACATTTCAGGGTTTATTCACTCAAGTGTGTTTGGCTTTCTTTAGCCCCGCCCACCAGAGGAAATGACGAACAGAAGTAACAAAAAGGAGCCGAACAGGATAAGTGATGAGGTCGCGTGAAGGAGAGGAACCAGAACTTTGGGGATCTCCAGGCTGGTAGGGTGATGATGATGATGATGATGTGAAAGTGAGCTGCTTCTATCAGGCACCCTAAACATCAACATCTATGCTCTTGGGGGGGGGGGGGGGGGGGCTATTGAAAACCAGTAGTTACCATGGTGACCATATTGGTTTCAGGTGATTAACAGGCTTCTGCAGAGCCTGATGAGCTGCTGCGCAGGTGATCAACCACTGAATTTGGTGCGTTGGAGTAGAGAAACACCAAAAACATGCTGGATGCTGGCTTTTTCAGGATAAAATATCACGAATAAAAACATATTTTTGCCTCAGTCGTGCCTTCCCACCAGATGCACTCATAAATCACGTCATTACGACATCTCAGGTGTGTGAGATGTGGCCAGCTAACCTGAACGTCGGCCCTGCTTCTCATTCCGTTTGCTTGCTTTATTTGGTTGGGAGAGAACGTTAAAGAACAACACACGACGTTTGTAAACACGCCGGGTTACAGTCATCGTCCGTCGTTGTGTTTCCCTTTAATAAAACACCCCCCACGGCTTGATGCGTCCCAGCATCTCATTAAGAGCTTTGAAAATGTGTCCTGGACGAATCTCAAATCCCTTCCTGTCCCGCCTGGAATCTCGTTAACGTCCAGTTAATCAAACATTTTTGGAACGTGTTTTTTTTTCTTCCCAAAACGGTTTTGCGACGCAGGAAGGAAGGAAGGACGAAGCGGAGGCTTTGAAGCCGTGGTGATGTTCACCAGGCGCTCTGCAGAGATGCAGGCTTGTTTATTCCTGCAGGCTCTTTACGAGTCAGCACAAAACGTCTCTCGGAGGACAATCTTCCCGGTGAAGCGATCGGATCACTTATGGAAGTTGATTTTGATGCATTAAGAAGTTTGTTAGATTTCTTTTGCTGCAGATCTTTTTAATGCGTTCTTGCAGAGAGAGACATGTTTACATCAGTGGCCTTCGTGTTTACACAGCTGTTTAATCCGTGCTGTAAGAAAACTCAACACACCACAGCAACAGCTCCTATGACTACAACCTGTTGGTTGTTTTGCGTTAGTTTACTGTTTTCCTCCCTTCAGTGCAAATTTTTGCTTCCCACTCCGGAAAAATCACCCAGCTCCATCTGTGACTCTATCTTTCCCGCACTTCCACCTTCTCTCGAGTCCATTTGGGATCCAAGAGTGTCTTTGTGGCAGGACGGGGGAGGGATCTATTCCTGGATCCATCTTCTTAAGTTTTCCTCCATCTGTTGATCCGATCAGGCAAAAAGCAGATTCTCACCTTGGCTGTTAGAGTTGCATCCGCGAAAGCTGAAATCCTGAAGGGAAACGTCTGTGTGGGCCTTCTCTCTGCTCCTGTCGCCTCCCAACACTGAGCAGGAATCAACTGGTGGGTGGCAACAAAGGCTGCATGAAAGGAAGAGGGAGGAGGGGAGAGAGGAGAGAGCTTAAGGGGGGGGCATGTGAAAGGGCTCAGAAAGGGAGAGGTCACAGAGTTTTGTGTGCAGAACGGAAATAAAGCCAGTCTGGCCCCAAAGATCTAAATGATATCAAACAGAAACTTTAGCTTTAGTTCCAGCTGGTCCAGAAAGATCCGAGTCTGCGTGTTAGACCAGAAACGCGTCACCAGAGCTCCACCCGACACCTACAGGAGTGTCTGTTGGCACCGACTGGCTTCATCGTGTGGCTGCTTGGCAGCACAGATGCGAGAGGTTAAATAAGGACAGACTGCCAGAACGCAGCTCGGATTAACCTTCAGAGCTTTCCTGAACAAACGGACACATCAGAACTCTGAAGCTGCAGGAACGTGCACACAAATGTTCTCTGATGAGTTGACTGTTTTAGTAAACCCCGTCAGATTCATCATGAGTCCCAGGCCCAGGTATCAGAACGGAGATGCTCATAAGGGCTGAATGTTGAGAGGAAAGTAAAGCAGTTAGGCCAGTAAATGTTGTGTGTACACATGTTAAAGTATCCCTTTAACCCTCCCACTTCTTCATGGTGACCCCGCGAGGAAAGCTGACCATTGAGCAGGATTGATGGTTTATCCCTTGAGGTCCACGTGGCAGGGGTGAGGAGTGAGCACCACTTCTGCACTTTTACCTGCAAAGAAAACGTGAGAAATATTCGATTTTTGTAAGATTTACAGAAATAAATCAACAACATGAAGCCTTAAAATATTTATCCACTTCCCATTTTCTGTGACCCTTATAAAATATTCATCTGACTGTAACTTGACCCCGATTCAATTTTGATGTACAAGAAGAGACAATAGTGTACATTTCCTTTATGATCAACACAAACCAAAACATTAATGATCAAATTGATCAATAAATAAATAACTGTTGCATCCTTGATCAGTGCAGGAACGTGAGTTTAAATGAGTCATTATGTACAGTAGGCTGAGCTAATTACACGCTCACCTCTTCTGATCCATTAACAACTATGTTATAACACGAAAATACTCAAGATGGGGAATAGTTTTATGTGCATGTTTAATATGTGTCAGTGTCGTCCAAATATCTGTGAACAGCTGTAGTTGATGCTTACAGAGCCCAGCTGCAGTTGATGGTTAAGCTGCTTTAAGCAGTAATAACACTCATGTCCACTAGATGGCAGCGTGACTCAAGCAGTGCAGCCTGCGTGAACGAGGCGGGTATCGCTGCAGACCCGGAGACCGCAGATTCAGGCCGACTGCAGACTCAGGCTGACCGCAGACTCAGGCCGACTGCAGACTCAGGCTGACCGCAGACTCAGGCCGACTGCAGACTCAGGCTGACCGCAGACTCAGGCCGACTGCAGACTCAGGCTTGTACTGTTTTTGAGACAGCGTCGCCCACTGTTTGCTAAGCAGTATTTGTTTAGTTGGTAAGGAGGAAGAAAACCAAACACACAATGGACCATCCAAAGAACCAGTGATGATGCAGCTGTGTTTTAAATAAAGTTTTACTTTAATCAGTTCATCAGTGCAAAGTTCCACAGCGCTCGGCATTGAATTAATGAGCGATGTGTTTTGGTCCACCAAGGTGTTACGAGGTGGTTGATCTAAGGATGTCCAGAACCAGGAGAATTGGAAAAATTATTTTTTTTTAAATTGTGTTTCGACAAACAACTTCAATTAAATAAACATGATAAAAACTTTTGTTATTAAAAGTTACTCAGAAGTTTTCACATTTGCATTCTGAGTACTTCACTGAAGCTTTAACAACGAATAAACTATTTTTAATAAGCTTCACCGACAATTACACGTTTTTATATGTAACTGTTTAACAGCAGAAGCTTGAATCTGCAGCAGGCGTGAATCTGCGGTGTCCGAGTCTGCAGCCTTGAATCTGCAGTTAATCTTTAATCTGCAGTTGTAGTTACACGTTGGTCCTTTAGAGGTCGCCGTCTCAACTACAGTACAAGCCTGAATCTGCGGTCTCCGGGTCTGCAGCGATACACTATTGGCGTGAACACACACCAAGTCCAGTTTCAGCCTTGCAGGGACTGTTTACATTATTCTTCATAGGTTAAGGTTCAAATCCCTCCTGCACAGCATGCATGCATTTACTTTTAACTGTAACCTGTAACCTGCTTTCCTTCCTGGATGTGACGAAAGCAAAAGGGAATCCACTGCATGCAAACCACCCCACCTACAGCACACGTCCCTCGAGTGGTGGAATAAAACGGACTTTATGGTCCAACAGGACAGCAGCTGCTGGCACAATGCACACTCAGCAGGGCACTGGTCCCTGATTCATTTATGGAAATCAAACGAGGGCCGTGACGGTGCAGACACCCCCAGCCCGCCACCTCTCCTCTCCTCCACCGCACACACTAAATGCTTGTCCTCCTGAGGGGTCTCACCCCTCTTTGACCCCCCCAGCCACACTCCACCATCCCGTTAGAGCTGGAGGCGTGTCTCCATCTCCCTCGAGGAAACATTTGCCATCCGTCACTCCTCCACCCCACTTTTGTTTAGCTCTCACCTGTTATCCTGTTCTTTTAGCAGATATGCAGCAGAATCAGTTTGAAGTCAATCTGGAACGTTCACACCAGCCTGACGTCACATCACCCCCCTCACCGTTCCCTTCCGACACCCCGACGGGGGACGGATTTAGCCCAAACTGCTGTCTGACAGCAGAAGTGATGACGTTTGGTGTTGAATGTAGCTGAGAGACCTTTGTGACCTTTCTTCGCCGCTGGGATGAATGCTTTAATGGATTTGGTTCCGTTTATTTGCAGAGACATGATCAGATGTTCTTAATGTCTCAACGTTACCCTTGAGCAGCATCACAGCTCTTAGGGAGCGTTAGAGCACCTTCACAACAAACTATTCATCTTTTCTAACGTCATGAATGTAGGCCACAGACAGCAGAGTGTGTGTGTGTGTGTGGGGGGGCAGCTAAAAGCGTGGGTAGGATTTGCCGAGCCGAGGAGGATGAGCGAGTGAAGTTTCCAGATTTGTATCTGTCAGACTTTGTCATCAGCGTCACCGAGTCAGTAGAATATCCCAGTCGTATCATCACAGAGGACATGAGAGATGATGATGACGTGTAAAGGCGGAGCTGTATGTCACCTGCTCAGGGAAATACATTCGCTCGTAGGTTTGGGTCCGGTTCTGATCAGCATAGCTTTGCTTACGGCTTATTATGCTAGGCTGCAGGTTGCCTATAATGATGATGTTTGGTACTGAGGAAGCCTAGATAGACGAGTGCAAGTGAGACTTTTGTGGTAACACTTTAGTTTAGGGAACTCATATTAACCATTAATTAACTTCCAATTAATATGCATATTAGTGGACTAGACATCAATATGTGGACTCAGAGTCCTGCATTCCTGCAGCTCGCCCCCAAAAATGGTCTGAACCACCATCTTTACCTCAAAGTGAGTCAGGAGATGAGCTCATACTCAAGTCCATTGTCCTCACTACATCTACTGCTTCTACTTTGTCAGACCTAAATCAGCACCAGACCATAAGTCTGAACTAGTCATTATTAAGCACTTATTAATGTCACGATCTGCTCCTGCCTCCCTCTGACTGTGACTCTCCCCTGCCTCCTGATTAGTTTTGTTGGTCTCACCTGCTCTTTGTTCACCTGCCCATGTGTTCCTGATTGTTCCCTGTGTGTTTATACCTCCCGTCTTGTGTGTGTCCGTGTCGGATCATTGTCTGTTTGTCGTGTTGTGACTTGTTTCCTGCCGTATCCTGTCATTAAATCCATTTTTATTTTTACCCGTGCCTGCATTCCTGCCTCCTGGTCAGCTCCGCCACACACGGTCCGCCGCCACCCACATCATGACAATTAACAGCTTATTACTAATGCCGTTATTCTAATTAAGAGTTTTATCTAAATTCATTCATAATGGTTTGTTAACTGAAAGTAAATGGTCTGTTGCTGATTAACGCACACACTAATGATCTCAAATCAATGTGTGGCTTTTAAAGAAGTAATTCAAGAGGAACACATTCTTGCCTTTAAGTGGTTAATTAATACTAAACTACTAGTAATTAGGTTTGAACAAAATGTGACTTTAGAATGGGGAACAGATTTGTGCTTACAAGTGGTTAATAGATGGTTGTTTAGGCTCTATTAACATGTGGAGTTTGGTGTTTATTTATGTAATACCAGAACATTCATAATATTTTTGGTTATTAACTATTCCTCTTGAATTAGTTCTTTAAAAGCCAAACATTGATTTGAGCTAATAGGTATGTGTTAATCAGTAACAACCCATTTTGAATGGCTTACTTAGATAAAACTGTTAATGTTAGAATTACAGCATTGGTAATAAGCACCTAATAATAGCTTAATAATGACTAATTCAGACTTAGTAGTCCTCTAATAAGCATATAAATTGGCAGCTAATTAATGGTTAATTTGTGTTCCCTAAACTGAAGTGTAACCGACATTTTATGTATAAATGTGTTTGTAGGCTGAACAAATCTAAACATGAGATTGTTTTCAATCTAACCAGTACCTGTGTCCGTGCACACGTCAGAGATGTGGAAACACTGGTTTAACTGGGTTTTCTTTATTAGATTAGGGAGTTACAATAATTTATCTTTTTTTTTCCTCGTTTCTGTTTTTCATGATTATTTGTTTCTTGTGCTTTAGTGTGTCATTGTGCTCATCCATACGATGTTCTTCTAATTCTGTGAAAAAGAGTCCGGAATAAAAATAATTGACTTGAAAAAAACAGACAGAAAACATGAAGATAGAAAGAATTTTGCCTGAGCTTTTGGCTCTGGTCGGGTCTACAGCCGACATCTGAAACAGGAGTTGTTGTAACGCCGGTACGTTAACAGCTGCTCTGCAGAAACTCATAAATCCTGCTGCAGCTGAGCCAGACTCAGATCGTCTGCCCATGAAGCCTCACGTTTATACAAAAGTCCTCTGCTTCCTGGGTATGAGGACAGTCGTTAGTAGGCTGATTCATCTCCTGCTGAGGAGTCCTCACCAAGACCACGGAGACGGTTAATTCCTAAAATAAGAACTGGACAGCAGTTTATCTGCAGCATCTCAACTAAAACCTCTGAATTAGTCCTTTTGGTCTCCACACAGTTGTCCCAGCATAAAGTTAATCTGAGGTCTGATAAATTGTGGCACACATTGCCATCATTGGATCTTCTGTTGGACCGCTCAGCCAATGAACGACCTCCACTGTTCGCTTTTCTGATGCTGACCTGGATAAAGTGTTTAGTCAGCGGCGAGGCCTCTCCTCTTTGTTTTTCTCTAATTTTGTCTCCTCCTCCTCCTCCTCCTCCTCCTCCTCCTCCTCCTCCTCCTCCTCCTCCTCCTCCTCCTCCTCCCAGAGCCAGTTTCCAAAGTAAAGGTCTGGAGCAGCGTGATAACATTGTCTCTGTGAGCTTGACAGTGGAGTGTTTCTGCAGGGCAATGCCTTGTCACCCACAGCGTGTGCTTTTAGCATTTACTCTTATTTTTTGCAGCTAAAAACTTCATGACGCAGCATCTAAATTTGTTTATTGGTTTGATGGCTGAGGTCGTATCAGGATTTCAGCCAATCAAATGTCCTCGAGCGTTGCCAGGACCCGCCTGGCTACATCTTTTGTCTGTAATAACATTTACCTGCCAGTCACCGTGAACAGGATTTAATAGGTAAACATAAAATAAATGTTAAAATGATCTACTTATTCACCATTAAGAGATGAAAATGCTCATTTAAAGGCTAAAAGT